GGTATTAATCTCCCCCAGGCAAGGGTCAATGGCCTTGGTATTGTTTCACCCAAGCAAATGCCTCATTAAAGGATGCCAAGAGTACAATTTCAAAATAGAACTTCATTTATTATGAGAAAATAACGTTTCAGTAGGCCATTCCATCAATTATCATAACGTTTCAATAAACCATTCAATCAATTATATATCAATTTCGATAGCAATAACATTTTCGAAAGTAAACGTAACTTGAACATATCTTTATAAAGTTATTACTCACAGTGGGTTAAGTCGATATAAGGCCTCGGATGCCCACCTATATAAATCACATAACAAAAACACAATAGAAGCACCATTCAATATTTATTTCATTTCAATTCAACTCTCTTTATGTGTTTTTAATTTATTCCATGATTATATGAGTCCAATCGGTGCCTAAGAATACTTAGAATGTCATGAGGATGCAAATATGCATTTAAAATAGGTAGTCAAAATTGCTGACAATAAGGTCTCCGCTCGAGCTGGGGCTCAAAAACAAAGGTGGCCGCTCGAGCATAGCTTTCGTCGCTCGAGCGGTCTGTAAACTTTTATAAACTTCTGAGAGCTCGACTTTCACACTCGAGCGGAGTTTTCCTCGCTCGAGCGGACAGCATGAATTTTAGAATTTCCAGAACTGTGTTTGAGCTTCAAGGTTGATATTCAAAGCCTCAAAACTTGTGTTTTTGGTACAAAAATATGGAGAACCATTGTATAATTTAGTAAACACTCTCAATCAGAAATCATTTATTCAAAATCATGCTCCAATTGTCCAAATTTAGATTTAACTCATTTTCTTTATATCAAACCCACAATTTTAAAATATGAATTAGACTTTCCAAACTCTTGAAATTTCATGATGTATGTAAAAATAAAACCCAATTTTTTTATTAATAACAAAAATCAACTTAACTATGAATTACACAAATCAATTTCTTAGAAATTCAACTTAACTCAATTTTTAACCAAAAACTTAATTTATAATCATAGATGTTCTAAAATGTGTTTAAATTGAATAAAACTTTTAAATTAAATTACATGCATGGATTAAAGATCAAAATCAAACAAATTCCTAATTTTCAAAGCTTTTCCTTTTTCTCTTCAAAATATGAGATTGAATTAATTCAAATTCTTCAAAATCCATGATGCATGTACAAACTAACAAAATTTGTTCATGCATGTAGAAATGAAACTCAAATTCATGCAAGACTACAAAAATCAAGTTTAACATAATTGATTCTCAATTTAACTTCCATAAATTCGAGCCTAACTCCATTTATTCATCATCTTGCTAATTCTTTCTATTTATATGAAATTGAACCCAAATTTAACAAATTTAAGGAATCATAACTCATATTCTTCAACCTAACTTGATTTTACATGAAAAATCCAATTTCTATCAATTTATATAATTAATCTTCATTTTTAATCCTCTCAAAATCCATCTTGAATCAATTTATGTTTAGATTATTTAAACAACACTAGAAAGAGAATGAAATTTCTTACCATAAGATGAATTTTTCGTAATTTTTAACTTCAATTTTGATATCCCACAAAACCCTCTTCTTCTTTATTCGTTCTTCCTCCCATTCCCACGCTATGCTCCAGCAAATGACTACAATGTATATATAT